CTTCATTCCTTTGCAGGAGCAAGAAGAGACAATCCAACGTCGAAGTGCCGGAGGCCGCTTCACTTACCGGCACAAGAACTGGACGTTCGTTAGGCGCAAGCCTCTACCGCCCGTTTGACCTTACCTGACCTGAAACCCCGGTCTGACCGGGTTCGGGCAGCTTTTTGGTTATCGCGTAGGGTCATAGCATATTGGAACGCATTGCCTGCAGACGTCGTGGTGGCACCGACGGCGAAAGAGTTCGAGCATCGACTTGACGCTCTCAGTTTGCAGTTTAAAGTCTTCCCCTTCATTTCTTAATCTTTACTCTTCTATTACGGTCTACGCTTCTTTAACTCATTTTATCTTACATCTTAATATTGCCTACGAAATTCGATAAGCTTGTCTTCTTCTCTGTTTCCTTTCCTTTACTGGCACTACTGTTTTCTTTTATTCTTCACGTGGCCGGCACAGCTGGGACTGCTAGTGCAGTGCACGTAGGCATTGTTTGGTTGATCATGTGGATCGTGTGTGTTGATTTGGCTCTCCTTTGGCACATCAAGGCACCGGTTTCCCTGTTGGATCAACGACGTTTTCGAAGGTGGAACATTCACGGGATTTTCCTACTGTTCCGGTCCCACTTGAACTTGAGCTGCTTCTATGTTACGGTCGAGTGGAACGTGAGCCGGAGCAGCAACACAGCTCTGTGCTCTAGGCTGCTGCTTATTGATCCTGTTGGTGCTCAGAGTTCGAAGTTGGATGCTAACTATGGAACTCGTATATAAGAGCCAGGGATCTCAGAGGTTGGCGTGGTTCTAGACTCCTGATCTTGTGTATAAACCGATTACACTTTGCTTCCCTTTTGGAATAAATTCTTATCAGCAATCACTCTCTTCCTTTTGTTTTGACATTCCCTGTAGTGACGTTCACAACGAGACTGAACGTTAACGTGGTTCGATGGTTTGCCTACCCCTGTAATCCGCAAACCTGTGCTGGGGGAACTTTCCAACTGGCTTTAGAGCCACTCCTTCCAGACAAGTCAATGGTTAGGAGTCAGACTAACTCAGTCTCGCAATACAATCCTCTTCAGTGGTTAGGGAGAGATCGATGGCCCTCTTCCTTTAAAACAACCATGGGAGACAACAAGTCTACAGGTTATGAGCTCACAGCTCGATTGGCACATGGCACGAGCGCTACACATTGTCTCTGACGGTGGGAGGGCACCTTCCGGTGCTCAATGATTTGTTACCGCCCGCCTCGAGTCAGGCAGTCCCTGGTCAAATCGGTGCAAACCCGCCAACTCACACCCGCGGTCGGCCGTGGTCGCAGATGCGTAACGTAATACGGTCGTAAAACACACGTGAATTGTTTCAAATCTTCAATGACTGTGTGACAGGCCTCGAGCAGTTTCCAATGGGTGCAATCACATTCCCGAGCTGGACTTGCTCCCCACTGTCTTGTGGGGCAGGCTATTAAGCCAAAGGCTCGGGGTGGAGTCTCTCAAGCAAACCTCCGAATCCCCCTCTGTCATGTGGGTCAATCTACTTAGCCAAAGGCTCCGGATGGAGTCCCTCATGCAAACCTCCAAATCCCCCACTACCGTGTGGGTCAGACTATTGAGTCAAAGGCTAGTTAGGGCACATCGAACAAATTCGCTCTCTCGGAATGGGCAGCAGAAGAGTATCATCTGCCCTCTAGACCACGTCGACAGTTCTCTCTCCCTCTTATTTTTCTCCCCTTTCAACTCTCTTCTTCCCCATCTATTGAGCAAGAATCTACCGCTGACTTCGTTTCTGCTATCGATACTCGTAACTCACCCATCAAACCGCGAGTCTCATTTCACACTGGTTCTTTTAACGTCCGCATTTGAGGTCAGATCGGTCAACTGGCATCACTGACTCTTTTCACTTTCTTGGTATTGATTTTTGCTGGGTCTCCAAAACACGCATACAAGATAACTGCGTTTTGACAAATCCTCGACTCCCTGGTTCTGAATCTGACAGTTAATAGGCACCGTATGAAGGCACGATGCCTTTTCACCGTCTCCGTTTGTGCTCCTACTGACTGCAGTTCAGTGTACCAAAGATAATTTCTACTGCCGTCTTTCATCTCTTCTCCGGATGTCGAAGAATACTGACATCGTAATTGCTGCTGGTAACTTGGGTGCCCTGGTGGGCCGTCTTTCACACTCTGAACAACACCTGGGAGGGTGTTTTGGAGTCGATGCACGCCGAACAAATCGATTCCTGCAACTGTGCGCCGACCAAACTCTACATTAGCAGCCCTACTTTTCAGCACACACATTCACGTCGCGTCACCTGGTACCCACCGAATTCCTCAATGAACTGGACCCAAATTGACCATATTGCCATCAGCTAAAGTTGGCGCAATCAGTCAAACTGTCGGTTAAGTTGGTGCACGTGCTTGAAATCCGACCATGCTCTAGTGCGCTCATGCTTGGCGCTCACACTTTCCGCTTCAAAGAAGTGCCTAACTTCTAACCTTACGTGTAATTTGAACTCTCAGTGTGCGGTTCAGCATTATCATAACGAACTGGCCTACCAAATGTCCGTGTTGTATGAGGCTGGGGAGCTGAACGCAATGAAGAATGCTTTTGACGCTTGCTGTGCACCCGCCTTGAGACGTCATAACAGTGAATGGATTCAGTTTGATCGATGCACGTATACAGGTTCCAATGGGTACTGAGTTTTAACGTATCCGTAACTCCCTGAAACGACATCTGACAAGGAGTCTTCGAGTTGACCGGGAACGTTGGTGGGTTGCATTGGTCCGTGAGATGGAGAAATCCTGTGCTTTTGGAAACAGCCGGGTGCTACTTCAACTCATCCGGAACAAGGGTTTGAGAAAGCCATCAGTTGGATAGACAATTGCAGAGAGATGGACTGTTGATTCATTCTCAGCGTCGTCGACTAGGCCGTTGGATGGAACATTTTGAGGAGCAATTCAGCAGGCCTGCTAGGACACTGCCGCTTGCCGATTCACCAGAGCCGACGTGGGAACTAGATGTCACACCGCCCACTTTGTAAGAGATTCGACATGAGCCTACCGTGTTAAAACGAAACAAGGCTCCGGAACCCGACAACCTTCGATCTTTGTTGATTGGACTTGCTTCTCTTTTTAACATGATTTGGGACACTGACGAAATGCCTTCAGACTGACGACTATCAACTGTCGTGCCTATCTTCAAGAGGGGTCAGTGCACTCTGTCCGGAAATCGTTGAGGTATTAGCTTTATTTCCATTGCCTCAAAACGTCTCACGGGTATCATTCTTCCACAGCTCCCTAGTCCCCGTAAGGATCGAATCACTGAAAGCCCTGACCGTGGTTGTATCGAACACATATTTACTCTTCGCGAAGTTTTAGAGCAGTGATACATCAGGCGACCGACAATGGGGGTTTTCCTTGACTCGATAGCCACCTTTGACTCTGTTGATGGCGTCAGCTTGTGACACTGCCTATCCATGAAGGGCGTGCCAGCTAAACTCCTTTCCATTTTAAAGTGCCTCTACCGGGAATCCCCGAAGTCGCGTAATGGTCTACGGGAAACTGTCTCCTAAGTTCCCCACGATAAGTGGGGTTCGCCAGGATTGTCCTCTATCTCCTTTTCTCTTCAACTTTTTGAGCGAACTGATCATGATGGACTCTGTTCTTTCAGGCTGTACCACAGTGAAAGTTCTGCGAGGCGGCCGAGTGACAAACCTGGAATATGCGGACGACAAAGTTCTCTTTGGGTTTGGTGCATTGGCTATGCAAACACTACTGCGCAGACTTGTGCGTAGCGCTACACGGTTCGGCATGTACTGTGCACCTACAGAGTGTAAAGTGATAAGGCTATCATCCCAACAGTTCACAAGCTACATAGCAGAGCCTAGTCCGGAAAAACGCCGGACGTGTTTCGCTCTATCGGGGCTCGTCAGTGGTGCGCATCCTTCGGTCTTCTACGGTCCTTCTACTCATAAGTAATACAAATTCGCCCTTACGGATTCCATAACTGTTATGTCGATTCATAGCTGCCGTAACAGGGAAGTCCTGACACCGGAAGGCCAACCGCTGTCATCTGCATGGCAGTGGACGATGGGTCGGGCTATATCGTAGTTAGCTAACAATTCGTGATGGCACAGTTGCATAAGCTGCGGGCTAGTTGGCACAAACCACTAGCAGTCATGGGTTCCATCCTCCGTAGAAGACCGAAGGATGCGCACCACTGACGAGCCCCAATAGGTCGAAACGGCCGTCTGGTGCTTTTCCGGATAGGTAGTTGACTTAGCTGAATTGTCTGCTGACTGCGACGAACAAAGATACCCACAAAAATCCTTCTACTCATAAGTAACCAAAGGACCCCGAGCACATCTGGTTGCAAACGCTAAAGGATATGGCCAAGAACCATACGCAGTGGCGTACTTGCTGTGAGACGCTACTGCCCTGACAGATGTTTTCCCTTTCAATCTATTATTTTTCCTCTTATGTGTGGTGGCACTCAGCCAATCGTATTGCTATTGGTTGTGTTGATATATATATATATATATATATATATATATATATATATATATATGCCCGTTGCTCGGCTTCCTCGGCGTGCATTATACGCCGTGGCTGCACCAGGTTGAGCGAGGCCTTGAGCTTGTAGAAATTGGCTGAGGCTTAGCCAGGCTAGTGCGTACCGTCTTCCTGGATGGGGGCCTCGAAACATTCTACACCAATAGTTGAAGACTGTGTCAGACATGGTGCAGTCACCAAGTCAGTGGCGTTTCTGCATTCGGCTTCTTTCGTCTTGTTATTTATTTCGTTTCATTCTGATTAGTCTAACGTGTTTCCTTCTTGCTTTCCTTTTCTCTACCTTCTCTTTGCACTTAACCCCACTATCCTGCTTATGTTATTTATTGTTATTCTTGCCATGTGTCGTGGTAACTGAATACACCACGCCTCGGTGCTCGTATCATAGTTGATCAACTGAACTGATCGTTCGTTTAATCCCTGAACCAACTATTTCGTTCCATTTCTGCAGATATTATCGAACCCACGGTCCACTCAGTCCCTTCGGTGATTTCCTCTGTCGATTGAGCATAATGAGTAGTTGGAAACTTTTAATCACTTCTTGAACACACCCGAATCAAAATGTTTGCAATAGATCGTCCGAAACTGTCGGAGTTGTTCGTATTCAGCCCTACTTTGTGCCAGAAGGAAGGTGATGTGAGTCGTCTCTTGGTATAATTTGTCGCGGTGTTATGATTTACAGTACCTATTCTTGTTTTCTGGGATCCAGCGACCTCCCTATAGTCATCCTTTTTCCTATTCTTTTAGTGAATGTTCCACTTCATTCACCAGAGAACTTAATTGTTAGTAACACCGCCAGTATTTAACTTTTGTTGGATCACAATTTATCCTTTGCGCCACGGTTGCCACACACTTTTCGAGGCCGTTTATATCCTCTTGGTTGATGTGGTAATCTTCATCATTGTGACGTTAGCCTTCAGCGACCGTCGTTTCGCTGATACCACCTTACTCCAACACGGTATCCAGCTATTTGTGCCCTTACTGTCTAAACATGTTAATTCTTTGCTTTGAACATTTGCTTCTAAGCACTTCGTCAAGTTCTGTAATATCCTGCTACTTCACTTTGGCTGTGATTTTTTGTACAAGGATGCCCGCTGTCACCTTTCCTATTCAACTTCGCTATTGACGAAGTCATGGAGATTGCATTTACAGGACATGACTTGGAAGGTGTGGAGCTACTCCCAGGAGAACGACTTCTTGACTTAGAGTATGCAGACGACATTGCCCTCATCTGTGACAGCTCCCAGACGTGTCAAACCGCGCTGGACAGATTAGCACTGGCTGTCAGTCGCTTCGGGCTTTGCTTTGCACCACCGAAGTGCAAAGCGTTCCTCCAGGATTGGCAGGGTTCGCCCCCTGTGCTGACCCTTGGTGGGGATCAGCTAGAAGTCGTTCAGAAATTCAATTACCTGGGAAGTTGTATCAGCGCCCTTGGGATCGAAGACGAGATCACGAACCGCATAGCGAAAGCTCGAAGTGCTTTTGCTAACCTTTGCCACCTATGGCGACGGCGCGACATTACTCTCGCCCTGAAGGGTAGAGTGTACAATGCAGCGGTACGTTCGACCTTACTGTACGGTTGCGAAACCTGGCCCCTAAGGTCGGCGGACATGAAGAGGCTAGTTACGTTCGACCATCGGTGCCTTCGCAGTTTGGCTCACATCTGGTGGGAACACCGCGTGAGTAACGAGCGTGTTCGACGCCTTGTTTACGGCCTAGGAAAAGGGAATGAACCGCTCAGCACCGTCATTTCACTCACCAGGCTCCGATGGCTGGGCCACGTGTTGCGCATGCCAGCCCACCGACTCCCTCGACGAGCGTTGTTTGCTCACCGGGGATGTGGGTGGAAGAAGAGGAGGGGTGGCCAAGCGATGACTTGGTCGAGAGGAATGAATGCCCTCACTTCGGAGCTGGCCTCAGTTGGAGCTTCACGGCTCCCTGGTTGGGGTCCGAAAGACGGTGAACACGTTTGGCTGGATACACTTGCTGATATGGCAAGGAGCCGACCTCAGTGGCGTTCCTGCTGTGAGTTTCTTTGTCCCTTCCTATACCTTTAGCCTCCCCCTCCATCTACGATCTTATTTCGTAGGGTAAAACGTAATTAAATTTTTGTTTTTGCCTAGTAGCCGGCTAGTAGCTTACCGGAACGATGCGTATCCGTTGCTGGTAGCTCAGCTGGCATTCAACTGTCGTATTTATTTTTCCTTTATGTATTGTATGTATGTATGTATTTCCTTTATGTATTGCGGTACAATAGCGGAGGTGTTTTACCATCTCTAGCTGACATGTATAATGATGATGATGATGATGTGATTTTTTGTGGAGGTCGACCCGTTTCCGAAACTGTAAAATGACTGTTTACAGCACCGATGTCGGGGGTTATGGTCTGCATAAGAGGCTGAGTGATCTTCACGGTATGCATAACCCACACAAGACTGGTGGTGACTGCGGGGCGGCAAAACATCGATACTACACCCTGACGTACTGCTGATGTTTTGGCTTTCATGGTGATACACCTGCGCAAAGTAAAGATGACATCAGCTTAGCACCAGTACTAATGGATCACCACCACACAACCCATAGCAGTTGAATGTAGGTCGGAATCTTTCTAGGTTAACCGCTCCTACTCTGCTTCGACCTGGCGCCTCTTATATCTCAAGCAACATAGTTCAACCAATTTTCCTCTTTCGCTCTCTCGCTAGAGGGCTGTTTATTAATGTTTTCATACCGCATTACAGGATACAGTTCAACTTTGTTTGGTGTCTAGTTCTAACAACGTCGTTGAACATATCCACTGATGAGCTTACGTATTTTTTACAGTTCACCCCAAACCTGGTGGCTCTTCACACTTCATGTGACGACTCGTGAGAACTCGCTTTCAGTTGATGGTGGCCGCTGACATATCAACTGAATTCTTTGAACTGCACACACCTTACCCGATATCTTTGGGGTTTTGCCAAAGTAGTCTCAATCAAGTTCCATTGGTATCATAGTCACGTACCCAAGTCTGACATCACCTGTTCGTTTCTAAGTCGGGGCCTCTAGGCTAGATTCCTCATGTCAACCTTCGTTCGTCTCGTTGCTTTATATGGATCCAGCGTTTGAGTCAGCAATATATGCCTGAAATCGTACAACTCATATTCGTCCCTGGATCAGATTTTCTTTTCTCTTTTTATCCGTTGCAAGTTCATTCCCTAGGTTAATCATTGAGCGAAAGGCACCAGCCCTGCTATCCAAGCTAACGGTACACCAAAGTGCTTTTTCAAAGCAAAGATCCACTTTCACATTGGACGTTGCGCGCTCTTTTATCTCGGTCAACAACCGGTATAAGATCCGGTCCTTGTTCCATTGGTGCTGCTATAGGCTTTGTGTCCAACGCACATGGGAATGCATTTACAGCAGCTTGACCCAGATTTTAGTGATGGCAGCACTTTTCCTCTCTGGTGATATTTAAACGCTGTTTCGAGGTATGTATGCTGTCCGAGTTCCGGGACTATTTAAGCCGGCTCCACTCGTTGATAGTGCTTCGTTCACTTGCCTCTTGTCTTGATTTCTGTGTTTATCGCTCTCCGTTACTCTGTGCATCTAAGTGAAATGCATGTGCTTGCCCGTGCTTCACGTCACTATGCCAATACTTGTTAAAATGGAGTGGTGGAGGTGGATTGGATCAGTACAAGGAAACTCGATATCAAAAGAAAACCTCAGGATCGCTACAGACCTGATAAATCAAAGGTAAGGGAGAAAATGCACTATAGCCGTCAACTGCTTTGTGACTGTATCATTTCCGCTCATCTCTACCCACTGGCATGTCGCATTTCGAGCCTCCTCCATCTAGTAAATCAACGTGGATCAACACGGCTCAATCTTTCCGCCAGTTTCTTCATACTGTGTTTGATCAAGGGTGGCCTCTAAGTCGTGAGCGACACTGTTCACGAACTTGAAGAATCATAAACAGGTATTATCAATGATGCATGTTTTGAAATAGGATTCCACCTACCATGTTGCTGGTATTAGAACGCACTAAATCATGACGATTTTTTGACATTGACGATTTTGCCATATCTGCCGCAGTACCGTTATACCACCTTACGATTGAACATCGCTTAGCTTTCTGATCAATCACAACGTGCTCAACAGACAGCCATTATTTTCTTTTTACATTATTTTAACAATTAGTTCCCTAGAGAACTTTTAGCTGTAAACTTAGCACAAGAGTGACGCACGATTTTATTCCGAAAAATCTTATCTTTATGATTTCGAGAGACGTGTGAATTAATAGCATCATGAAATGAAGGAAGTTGAAATTACAAATTAACCACTGAACCCGCAGACATACAGTCGCCCAGTCAATTTTCCCGGCCCGCTACCGCGGAACAGATGATAAGGTGATTGTATGCGTGCATGTTCAGTTTGGTTAATTTTTAATTTCAACTTCCTTCGTTTCATGATGCTATTAATTCACACGTCCGTAGTACACTCTTGAAATCATAGAGATAAAATTTTCCGGAATAAAAGCGTGCGTTAATTTTTACATTAGTTCAATTTAAGTTTTCTTTGACTGTCTGGTTTTGAAACACTCGCCGTGTGTTTTGGATTGCGACACGCAATCTCAAATTGTGGTCTCGATTAACTTTGAAGTCAGCCTATGCCATTCCTATCATTGGGACCGTATCCGACATGGAGGGTTTCGGTGTTGTTCAGAATGACTGGGGTTGACTTAAAAGTCAACCGGAACCACAATTAGGATGGCTCGTCACAATCCAAAACACGACGGATGCTCCAAAATCCGACAATGCACTTCTAATCGTTGTGTCAACCACATCGATAACCACCAACCACTATGTGCCGTTCCACTTCCAGATCAAGCTATTTCTACATAAAAGGTCCAAACGAGGATGAAACGCGTCGTGGAGTACACTGATGGGAATGAGCAACACCGAAACACTCCACATTGTGGAACCATTCCACTTGTGTGTGTGTGTGTGTGTGTGCTGTCACATGTGATGTCTGATCATATAGGGTTCATTTTGCTTGATTTCAGTTAACTTTTTCAACTATCATCCTCACGACAAGGTGTTTTGAGTTCAGTTCCCTTGGTTCACGTCGCCAAGCCATTAATAATAATTCACAAGAAATAACATGTGTCAGAATAGTTGGGGAGTGTCAACGATTTTGTGGTTGTCAGACTATTGTTGTGACAGCTCCCGACGGACCCGTCCAGAAAGATAGCATGCATCAATCATACATAAACTCTCGGAGACTTTCTATCTCTATTGCCATGTGGTTGATTGACCACCTCGGGGTTTCACCCAAATAGACACAGTTTTGGCAAACATTGTGCTCCAAGTCTGTTGACTTACAAGCATGCGGAACACATAGCCGAGCCACCGGTGTCTCCCGAGGATTCGTCGGGCACTCCAACGAGACACCGGTTGTGTACTGTTGGTTGCCAAATGATGAACATCCGCATTGCTCACTCGATTCTCCAAACGGACATAGAAATATTTCTCGAGCACGACCTATTTGGTTACGTCCTCAACTCATGTTTTGGGCTTCCGATTCCGGGTAGGCCTACCATTGCGGCCTCCATGGGGACAGCCGCAGGACACATACACATAGAGAAGGACTATGAGTGG